CCACGCCCCTCAAACGTTGATTCACCAAAGTTAGCGATAACCAATAAAAACTTAATTAATGTCGTCTTCGTATTTTCTTTTAGTTAACATTCCGCGTATGATGAGCGAGGGAAGGCAACCTCCCCCGCACAGCTTCCGAACCTCATTTTACCTATTTGCGGTGGTGCGCGTTTTCAGAGGGCTTCCGAACCTCCCCCAAACAGTCTTCCGGGAAGGATCTTCCATTTATAATCGTCAATGTCTACTTAAAACAAGACTAATTTGATTAGTTATGCACTGTAGTCGATCTATAGTATCCTTAACATTTTCATAATATTTTTTTTACAATTAAAATAATCCGTAGACCTTCCTAATTACAAAATCTTTAGCTGCATTTTTATATAAAATAAAGAGCGAAGACAATAATATTTCCAAATATTTTTGGTTATCACTGTAGGATAATGAAATCCTATATTTTTTATAAATATTGTATTAACTCAGTATTTTAGTTCCGAACGAAACCTTTTATTTTTAGGATTTCTTTGACCTGAAAATGGTTTGGATAAAATGTACTGAATATATTTCAAATTATGATAATATATTTGAATAAAGTCGGGATAAAAGGTTTGGATAAAATGTACTGAATATATTTCAAATTATGATAATATATTTGAATAAAGTCGGGATAAAAGGTTTGGATAAAATGTACTGAATATATTTAAAATTATGATAATATATTTGAATAAAGTCGGAAAAAAAGGTTTGGATATTTCTTGCATAATTTAGAATAATAAATTAAGTCTAATACTGGTGTCTGGAGCTCTAGTGTGGTTTCATATCATGATCAACCCCTCACGACTCCAGAGAGAACAAAACCCGACATCGTTCTCCCGATTTGTCAAAAACCATGATCGACATGTATTTAAATTAGATATTAATCTTAAGAGAAAAGAAATTGACAAAAATTGACAAAATTTTTTTACTTTGTTTGGTCGATCTTTAAATCAATTTTTCAACAAGAAAAATTTGATTTGAAATTTGATGTAATTTTTATAGCACTGACTTGAACCAACTCCGACTTGTCTACACAACACACACAGCTTAGAATACAGCACGGAGTAAACCGTATTTTTAAACCCGCATTCACGAGACGGATCTACAAACACAAAGAGTAATCAAAGCTCTACAGAAAAATGTCTGAATAAAATGTCTATGACCCAAACTATATACCCAGAGTAAAACTTATGACCTTTTCAATACAGGACAGCTCTCTAAAACTCCATTATTTTAATACATTACGAAATAAATATTGTCCACTGATAGAAACCAATTGAACAGGACGGATCTAGGATAAGAACGGAGTAAATCCTATAAAACCGAACTCTACTGATTGAAACCAATTGAGCCGGACGGATCTTGGATAAGAACGGAGTAAATCCTATAAAACCGAATTCTACTGATTGAAACCAATTGAACAGGACGGATCTAGGAAAAGAACGGAGTAAACTCTATTAAACCGAACTCTACTGATTGAAACCAATTGAACAGGACGGATCTCGGATAAGAACGGAGTAAATCCTAAAAAAAACGAACTCCACCGATTGAAACCAATTAAACATGACGGATCTAGGATAAGAACGGAGTAAATATAAATTTTATGGTTCAACCAACTAAAATCCATTCAAGCGGACAAATACCGAATTCCAATCAATATTGTAAAAAATCAATTGAAACTGTCGAGTTTTTGGTCTGATTTCTCCAACCTAGATTTCTATCTGGCTGAGTTTAGGCTCTTTGTACTGAATGAATAGGAACAGAGTAGATTATCAAACTAAACCATTAAACTCAGTCGGAAGATCACAGTGAAGAAGATTTAGCAAATGTCCCAAGAATTGTAATTTGGATGATCTTACGGAGTAATAAAACTAATCCTCTGAATCCAGGGTAAACTCTAAACCCTGAGTTCTCATCACAGAATCTTTTATTAAATACAAGGTGAGATATTGTACTCAGGGTTCTAGAGAATACAGGGGGCGGTAGTTCTACAGTATCATATTGTCAACTGAATCTATCAACGACTGTTGAGACTTCAAAATAAACCTGGAAATACGATAGCGTAGTTTTTATATTTAAAATCATTATTCTAAAAATTAAATTCAAGGTTGCAATTGTTTGAATTTTAGAAGTTTGTTTGTTAAGATGTTTACTAAGTTTAAAAGGTTCACAGGTTAACAGGTTTACTGGATTATAGTTGTAAGTTTACTTAGGTTCATAATTTAAAATGCCCAGGGTTAAAGTAAAATGGATTACAGGTTTACGAATTTACTGGATAAAAGGTTTTCGACTGGGTTAAGATTTTCAGGTTTACAATTTTTTGTTTTTTGTTTAAAAGTTCACAGGTTTAAAGATTAACACAATCTACAGGTTTATTCAGGTTTATTCAGTTTGAGGATTATTGGTCACAGGTTTATTATGGTTTGCAGGTTTAATGGTTAACAAATTACATGGCTTTACTTGTTCATAGCTTTAGAGGTTTACAGGTTGATTTGTAGGTTTTTAAGTCTCTAAGTTCACAATTGTAGGTTTCCAAGTTTCCAAGTTCAAATGTAGGCTTTTAAGTTCAATTGTAGGTTTCCAAGTTTCCAAGTTCAATTGTAAGTTTCCAAGTTCAATTGTAGGTTTCCAAGTTCAATTGTAGGGTTTTCAATTTTCCAAGTTCAATTGTAGGTTTCCAAGTTTTCAAGTTCAAGTGTAGGTTTTTAAATTTCCAAGTTCAATTGTAGGTTTTGAAGTTTCCAAGTTCAATTGTAGGTTTTGAAGTCTCCAAGTGCATAGGTTTGCAGGTGTAGAGTGTTGACTATGTTTACCCCAACCTTATCTGTGCTTAGAGCTGAGCCAGCATGTATTGGTATGTGCTTGATGCCTCCCGCTGCCCCACCTTAGTATAATTTTCCTCACTTTTATTGGATCTCTCTCCGCCAGGTTTAATCCAATGAGAGAGGAGGAAAAGCGGCGCTCATTGCGGGGAGTTTTGGGTCCAACTGGGTTCCAGCAGTTCCTAGAGCGGATAACATCAGTCCTGGGTGGATAGCGAGGATAGTGACACAGTACTCCCACCGTCTCACACCCCCCTACACCAGTGTGAAATCTCTATATTGAGCCGCTACCACGGTTCCTAATTCCTCAAGGTGTAAACATAGCATGTGCATGTTGGGAACATATATGCAAGGTGGTATGGCGGGTGCCCTAAAGATGGAAGGGCAAGGAGTTGCCCCGTCCTACCCACAGTCTGGTTATCCTGGAGTTCCTATGCAAGCTCCAATGTCTGCTCCAATGGGAGGTTATGCTGCCAGAGATCTTCTCTTTCGCTCTGACCCGTCCTACTCCATGTTTTCCTCTAGTTTACATGCTGCAGCTACTGGACATGATCCGTTTAGTTTACACGATATGGGAGCTTCAACTTATAATTACAGTAATATGGGATATGGTTACATGTCTCCATACTACAGATATATGCGCCAGCCGGTCAAACAGGAGATGAACTGTGAATGGATTGATCAAGATACAAAGAAAATGTGCAACAAAGTTTTTCATACAATGCATGATGTTGTAACCCATCTAAGGGGGGGGATATACAACACCTGGACTTCCGGTCAATTGACAAATGAAGAGACCGGAAATGTAAAAACAAATAGAATTGAACTTTAACATGATAAACTATTTATTTCAGGCGAGAAACCGTTTGAGTGTGAGATTGAAGGTTGTGACAGAAGATTTGCCAACTCCAGTGATAGAAAGAAACATATGCATGTTCATTCTACGGATAAACCCTACTATTGTAATATCCGGGGATGTGATAAAACCTACACCCATCCGTCCTCTCTCCGTAAGCATCTAAAGATACATGGTAAAGATGCTCTGGTTGGATATGATAGCGATGATTCTGGAGCTACTTCTCCTTCTCTTCATTCAACCTCACTCTCATCTCCTCATATGAACCCTCCCTCTATTCCATCTCCTCATATAAACCCAGTTTCCCAACCCTCTCCCCACATGAACCAACCTTCTCAACCTTCTCAACCTTCTCCTCACTCCGTCCCGTCCCTCTCAGAGTATAAAACCTCCAGCCAACAATCTGAATACAAACCCCACCCTCTCGAATATAAATCCCAAATCAACGAATACAAATCACAAATAAGCGACTATAAACCCCATATCAGCGACTACAAACCCCATGTAAGCGACTACAAACCTCATATCAGCGACTATAAACCTCATCACAATGACTATAAGCTCCCCGACTATAGGGTTCCTTTGACCGACTATAAACTTTCTGACTACAAAATCCCTGTCTCCGACTATAAACCTGTATTAGGAGAGTGGTATGCTTCTCCTGGTTTACCAACTCCTCCGTCCTCAGGTCTTTCTCCGCGATTCTCTCAAACCCAACCTTTGCTCCCAAACCTTCATTATTAATTCTGAACCTGTAGTTCTCATTCAACCCAGGAGTTCTTATCCAAACCTTGAATACTCAACCAACTCTCGAGTATTTTTCTTTACCTGAAGTACTCATCCAAACCTGGAGGACTAAACCAAATCTGTAAAATTCGTCCAAGCTATTCAAATTTGGAGAATTATTTAAAACACAAATAATTTACGCTTGAATCTGAAATTAGTATCCTATAAGAGACGGAAGTATAAATAAATCTGCCTTGAAGTCGAACGCTAAGTGTGTCCAGTGGTCTTCTATAATACATATTATAAAACTGTGATAGATCTAAATATTATGTAATTATTTTCTGCAATGATTATCCAAGCAATCTTGAAATGATCTCAAATAAATCTCGATTCTTATTTGTTTTTGTATTAAATATGGATATGTAAAGATGTTGGTTATTTCTACAGAAGTTAGTTTTCTTTTAAAGAGATTAATTTTCTTGTAAAACGGTTAGTTTGCTGGAAAGAAGTTAGTTCTCTAATAAAAAGGTTAGCTTTCTAGAAAAAGGTTATTTTTCTTGTAAAGAGGTTAGTTTTCTTGTAAAGTGGTTAGTTTTCTGGTAAAGAAGTTAGTTTTCTAATGAAGAGGTTATTTTCTAGTAAAGAAGTTAGTTATCTAGTAAAGAGGTTATTCTTCAAGTAAAAATGATAGGTTTCTAGCAAAAAGCTTAGTTTTCTTGTAAAGAGGTTAGTTTTCTATTACAGAAGATAGTTTTCTAAGATAATTTTCTAGTAAAAAAGTTAGTTTTCTAGTAAAGAAGTTAGTTTTCTAATAAAGAGGTTAGTTTTCTAATATAGAGGTTAGTTTTCTAATAGAGAGGTTAGCTTTAAAGTAAAGAAGATAGTTTTCTAGTAAAAAGGTTAGTTTTTTTGTAAGGAGGTTAGTTTTCTAGTAAAGAGATTAGTTTTCTAGTAAAGAGGTTAGTTTTCCAGTAAAGAGATTAGTTTTCTAGGAAAGAGATTAGTTTTCTAGTAAAGAGATTAGTTTTATAGTAAAGAGATTAGTTTTTTAGTAAAGATCATAGTTTTCTAGTGAAGAGGTTAGTTTTCTATTAAAGAGATTAGTTTTACAGTAAAGAGGTTAGTTTTCTAGTAAAAATGTTAGTTTTCCAGTAAAGAGATTAGTTTTCTAGGAAAGAGATTAGTTTTCTAGTAAAGAGATTAGTTTTCTAGTAAAGAGGATAGTTTTCTAGTGAAGAGATTAGTTTTCCAGTAAAGAGATTAGTTTTCTAGTAAAGAGGTTAGTTTTCTAGTAAAAAGGTTAGTTTTCCGGTAAAGAGATTAGTTTTCTAGCAAAGAGGTAAGTTTTCTAGTAAAGAGATTAGTTTTCTATCAAAGAGGATAGTTTTCTAGTAAAGAAGTTAGTTTTCTAGTAAAGAGGATAGTTTTCTAGTAAAGAGGTTAGTTTTCTAGTAAAGAGGATAGTTTTCTAGTAAAGAGGTTAGTTTTCTAGTAAAGAGGTTAGTTTTCTAGTAAAGAGATTAGTTTTCTAGTAAAGAAGTTAGTTTTCTAGTAAAGAGATTAGTTTTCTAGTAAAGAGATTAGTTTTCT